ATGCCTAATTTTACTATTTGCCTGCAACATATACGCGAAATAATGAGAGAGACGCCGAGGGTAGCGCCTGCAATGTCATCAACTACCCTTCACTGAAAAAAAAAAAAAGGAATTTTAAGTTTACCGCGAAGAAGTATTTTTTCTAGAAATAAGAACTTTGCTGCTTAATACAAACTACCGTTTTGCTTAACCTCAGCATTTTTTTTCTTGTATAAAAAAAAATTCAGCTTAAATCAAGATTAAAACAATTCTTGGCGGCAAATTAAAAAATCATGATGCTTGAGCCAAGTACATGTTTTTTCAATGTTGCTCTCCGACTCTGCGGGTTGCATACGTCAAAAGAATGAAGGGGAACTGGTCATTATGACTCACCTTGGTGAGGTCGGCCACGATGGCGTCCTCCTCAAGGTGGATGAAGCTGCGGTTTTCTAGAAATTAAGATTATTTTACTATCTGCCAAGGCATTTGAAAAAATGCCTGTTTTGACTCTTCGCCTGCGACATAAACGCAAACTAATCAAAGAGACGCTGAAGGCAGCGCCCGGCAATGCAATCAACTATCTCCTATCTCTATCTACTTTTGCTCTCCGACTCTCCGGGTTGCATACGCAAGAAAAATGAAGGCGAACTGATCATAATGACTCACCTTAGTGAGGTCGGCGCCGATGGCGTCCTCCTCGAGGTGGATGAAGCTGTGGTTGTCGAGCTCGGCGCGGAAGAAGAAGCGGGAGCTGCAGCGGGGGCAGTCGTAGGGGCGGGCGGCGAGGCCGTGCTCGAGGATGTGCGACTGGAGCCCGGCGGCCGCCGTGAAGACGGAGCTGCAGATGTAGCAGGTGAACGCCGGGCAGCCGGCGAACGTGTGCTCGATCAGGTGCGTCTGGAGCTGCAGCGGCGAGCCGAGCACCCGCAGGCACAGCCGACACTCCAGACCGCTCAGCCCGTCCGACAGCATGTGCGAGGCCACGTGCAGTTGCATCTCTTGCTCCGTCTCTAGGCTTATCTGAAAATGGAGGGAAACATGAGGAGGATTAATTTTCGGCCAATGATAAAAAAATAAAAATGTGAAATTCAAAACCAAATGTAAAATGTAAAAAATAAGCACCACAGAAGTTATTTAACCCTAGTCTGCCTGAGTGGGGTCAGATTGACCCCACGGGAGTTTCAACTCTTTGCCATTTCTCGTGGTATGCACGAAATTTTTTGTCCTTCACAAATAGCTCTAAAAAAACATCTAGGAACACGATTTTGAAGGGGAAAAAAAAAAAATGTGCATGAGAGATCAAAAAATTCACGAGTACCTCTAGAAAGCCTGAGCGGGGTCAGATATCCTTATAACATATATTTTACCATTTAGCATCACAAAAGCTTACTTTGAAGGTGTATTCATTTTTCTCTTTTTAATTTTTTTCAGAAACTTATAAAACAAGCAAAATTTCTCAGATTTTTTTCGTTTCCAGTATTTAGTAGCCCTGTGATTTTTTTTTTTCTCATGCTGAGAACAACATGGTAACATGTGTATGATAAAATGGTTGCATACCCTGCGCCGTGTTTTTTAAAACTTAGATATGCTTTATGGTTAAGGCCTGTAAGGTTAGTGCACTGATATTAACTAAAAACATGAAAAAATCATAGCTAACTAATTGATTTTCAGCTGGGGTCAAATTGACCCCGCTCAGGCTTTCTCGTTGGTTCAGAGGCTCAGGCAGACTAGGGTTAAGGGGCTTAGAAGGACAAGTGAACGCATTTCTATCAAACGGAACTAAGCGCCAATTTGAGTTCCTTTTGAGGAATTTGGAATCCCGGATAGCGCGTTCTGTCAAACAGAACTAAGCGCCATGTAGAAGCATTGCGAGTATAGGACGGAACAAACCGGACGCTCGATTCCGCCGCCAATCCAAGCCCCCCTCTACCTTCCTCACCCTATGGCGCTTAGGTCCGTTTGATAGAAATACGTCCAAGTGAGATAAGTGCAGTTTTTGCTAGGTATTTCGAGAAATACAAGTTGTAAGTTTCAAACTTATATGGAGCCTTACGGCGGAAAGAAAGTTCACACTCAATTTTTGGTGACTAAAATTTGGATTTTAGTAGTGCATTTTTTATAGACATACTTTAAGACTAGTTTCACTTGAAGTAATTCTACCTCAATTTTTTCTACAACTACACTTATCTCACTTGTATTTCGAGCCTTTCATTTAAAAATGCACACGGAGAAAAAAAACTTTGTGCGTGGGACCCGAAGTTTAGGTCATATGGATCTCTTAAGTTTTCGGATTGAGCATCTGAACAGTTAAGGTCTAGCTGCCGAAGTTCAGGTCTGACATCTGAAACTACAGTTCTTACATCTGAAGCACTTCAGATGTAAGAACTGAAGTTTCAAATGTGTGATCCGAACCTCGACAGCTAGACCTTAAGTATTCAGATGCTCAATCTGAAAACTTCAGAGATCCATATGACCTAAACTTCGGGTCACACGCACGAGGTTTTTTTTCTCCGAGTGGACTATGATGAATATTAGTGCATTTATGGGGAAAATATAGCCATCAAAGGATACATTTCAGATTGATTCTGCCATTATAGGTTTCATGGAGCTTTCATTTAAAAAATAGCGGACGTTTTACGTAGATTATTCAAAATGGCAGAAACTGAGGTTTTGTCTCTTTTTATCACCGTCAACTTTGGTCAGGTTAATTAAGTTTTGAACCCAATGTGTATTATTTTACTATCTAGTATCTCCTTAGGCAATCTGTCGTCCTGTTACATACCTACAACAATATTCAACGAAAAGACACTCACTTGGCATTTGATGCACTGATAATTCTTCCTATGCGCGGACGCGAGATGCGCCTCCAGTGCGAGAGGCCCGTCGAAGGTGATCTGACACTCGGGACATCGTACGATGGAGGCCTTGGAGGACTGCTTGCGGAGACAATCGCTGCATATGCCGACGTTGAGGTCCCTCCGGTCGCAGGGCTGGAGGCAGACGCAGCACGTCGACGAGGAGGCCTCGCTCTGCCCTCGGTGGAGGTGGAACCTCGCGTGGATCCGGGCCTCCATCTCGGAGACGAGCGTCTGCCGGCAGATGACGCAGGCAGTCGGGAGCACCAGTTGCTGCTGCTGCTGGAGGCCCGGGTTCGTCGAGCTGTGCTGCTGCAGGTGCTGCATGAACTCCTCCTCGTCGCCCAGGCTCGTCTTGCAGTGGGTGCACGCCGAGCCCGATATCACCTGGAAACGTAGGAGAAAAGGATGTCAGTCATTGTTGATGACAATTGATATGAATGCCAACACGACGCACCAGAGAGCTCTCAAAACGGCCTTGATAAAGGCTTGGTAAAGAAGGAGGAGAAGAAGGAGAAGGAGAGGGAGAAGGAGAGGAAAGAAAAGGAGAAGGAGAAGGTGAGGGGGGGGCGGAGAAGGAGAAAGAGAAGAAGAAGGAGGGAAAGGAAGAAAAGAAGAAAAAGTAGAAGAAGAGAAAGAGGAGGAGGAAGGAGATGGAGAAAGAGAAGAAAGAAAAGAAGAAGGAGAAGGAGAGGGAGAATGAGAAGGAGAAGGAGAAGGAGAAGGAGAGGGAGGAGACGGAGAAGGAGAAAGAGAAGGAGGGGAAGAAAAAGGAGGAAAAGAAGAAGAAGAAGAAGAAGAAGAAGAAGAAGAAGAAGAAAAAGAAGAATTGGAGATACCCATGAAGCTGGCTACCACGTTGCTCCTCCGACAAAAGGGCGAATCTTAATTCCACGTGAGCCTTGTTTCGTATATTAATCTATGCTTTCGAAAGCTATAACGGGAATCGAGTTACGCGCTTACGCCGAAGGAGTGACGATAAATGATCTCAAGCATTTGAGGGTGAGGGGGTCAGGGATCACCTGATAAACCACTTTTAATGAGAGTGGGAGAGAGGGAAGGGACTGGGCATAGGGAGAGGCAAGAGTCGAAAAATTTGGAAAAGAACTTGACGTGATTATGTCATGGACGGGCTGCTTAGGGAGGTGTCTGCAGAAAACCCAACTCCCAGAAAATTGTCAACTTCAAGAAATTAAGAGTACTACTTTGACCAACTTATGCTTCAACCAAGATTGTGGGTGTAGATTATTTTCTTAAAAGCCAGCTTCTGATATCAGAGGCTCTGCAACAGGTTGTTTTTGTGGCCCTCTCTTCTGGGTGTCCTTAATGCTGCACCTACTGGCACCAGTGACAACGCCTTCATTTCAACGGCTATACTTCACGGCAAACGAGAAATTCAAATCGTTATAGCGTGACTTTCGCGCACATAGAACTTCTCCGAATTTGCAAACGTCTTAAAACTTCCGAGCAAGCCTAAGTCTTTTTTTTTTTTTTTTTTTAAA